AGTAGATTATCTCAAAAACAGTTCCAACTTTTCTTTTGAAACTTGTGGTTGGGATAGTGCTAAATGTACTCTATGTGATGACATTAATGCCATATAGCTCTCTCCTTTGTTTTTTCAAAAATTACAAAATGTAATTTTTTTGACGTGCTTCTCACGTTGTTAATATTCATACTAGAGGCGATTTGTTCACATTAATACACTTACAAGTACATGTGCTTTGAATAATGTCATATAAAGTTTCTTAGAAAACTGTTTTCTGCGAAAACTAGCTGAAAATTTTCATGCATCATGCATCATTTTCATGCAAATTTTCAGAAACGCTCAAACGCCATTTCTTCAAAACGGCTCAGAATATTGTCACCAAACATTTTGAAGGAATAGTACTAATTGCACTAATTAATATGGCATAAAGTTCATTTTTTTGTTTTCTAAAATTACACAAATGTAATTTTTTTCAAATATCTCTCATGCCGTGAACATGCACATTTCCACTAATTTGTAAACGCTATTGTATTTGTGAGTTAATATGTATTAAATGACTTCTAATTAAGTTTTTTGAAAACTCAAAACTTTTCTGTGAAAAAGAGCTTCAAATTTGAATTTACAATAGTACTTAAATGCCATTTTCATGAAAATGGCTCCAAACGTTTTAAAGAAAATTTCGATTTAGGACAAGGTTTTACTGTTCTTTAATATTCTTAAAATAATATCTCTGTTCTACTACTAAAAAACGAAAAAATAAGAACAATTTAAAGAAATGTATTTTGGCGGCGATAGATGGTAGTTGGGAAGAGTATGTGGCAAGTTCATATAGCTAGACGAGACTAAAAGAAATAGAAAAATAATATGGGGACATCTGTGGCATTCTGCACTACTAGTCACTGTTTTTGCTGCATTTTTGCTTTTCTATATTCTTTTTTGTTTTCTTCAAGGAATTAACTAGAGATGTTTTATACATTTCCTGTATTTTGTTCACTCTTTCTTCTACTTCTCTGCCCAAATTTGAAACTCCTCTTTTCTCCTGTTTTCACCTAAAGATCCTTCTGCAGCAGCATACATGCAGCTTCTACTATAGTCATTTTTAATTATTTACTAATATTTCCTGGCCTAGAGATGTAGCAACCCCATCTCCGTGAATGCCCTTACAGGTGGGTGGGGAATGCAGCAATTAGCCTGGTTTCTCCTACCTAGAAAGAAGTGGCTGATCGCTGCCTGTAACTATAAGATGTCCACCTTACCTAAAACCCTTTCTTGAACCCCAAGGGCCAATGGGTGGATTGAGTAGCTCGAAGGCATCCGTTTTCTAATCTTGGGTGTATCCTTACCATTACCATTTTCCTGTTCAGAAGCAGAAGTGCTTCAAATAGTGGTAGATTTAACTCCTGAATTCAATCTACCACTATTTGAAACTCAATCTAAGAGAAGAAAACCCTAAAAGAAAATTACCTGATCCTGCTGGAAGGGGTTTGAGGTATGGGGCCAGCACCCCATACTTGGAAAATAAAAAAAGACCCTCGAACTCTCAATAGAAATGACCCTTGGATTAACTCACGACATCGACAAAGGCAAGGAAAATGGTCTATGAATTTTGGATGCTGGAATGTTCAAGGTTTAAGCACTAAAGTAAATGAAGTTTTTAACGCAATAGAGGAGTTTAATATGGATATAATAGTGTTGAGTGAAACAAAAAGGATGGGAAATGGAAATGAAAAGAAAGGAAATTATGTTCACTTTTTTAGTGGAGTGGGAAAAGAAAAGTGTGCAAGAGCAGGAGTGTCTATAGCTGTACATAAATGATTGGAGAAAAATATTCATAGCTGGGAAGCAGTTGATGAGAGAATAGCATGTCTCGATCTTGTACTAAGAGGACGTAATGTTTTTATTACAGGAATTTATGCTCCAACAGACGATGCAAGTGTTACAGAAAAAGATATGTTTTTAGAAAACTGACTATGTTGCTGGATTCTATTGGATATCGCAAAGAAGTGGTGCTTCTAGGTGATTTTAATGGAAGAGTTGGAAAACAAATGGTGCATAATGTTGTGGGGCGAGATGGTGAAAATGTATTAAATGACAACAGAGAAAGACTTATAGAGACATGTGAAAGCTTACCTTACTTCAAAAGTTTACCGCTTATTTCAAAAGGTTCAACCAAGTACAAAAGGTGGAAAAATAGAGTCAGATGTGGCCGAGATACAATATTGAAAGCCTTCAAGATGATTCCATAGCATTTTTGTACAAATTGTACATGGCAGAAAAACTGAAGAACATTCCAGTAGGAAATACTGAAGAAAAATACCAATTTTTAGAAAAATACACTCATGAAGCCGGTAAAGAAGTTTTGGGAGAGAAGGGAAAATGTTAATATAAACAAAAAGAGATGTGGTGGACAGAAGATATAAAAAACTTTGTCAAAGAAAAGAAAAAATTATATTTGAGATGGCTTTCCACAAAGGATTTAGAAGACAGAAGTGAATATAACAGAATGAAATATTTGGTCAAGAAAGAAGTGAAGAAGGCAAAAAATGTATTAGGGGAACAAAATTGTGACAGATTAGACAAGTACATTGATAACACCAAATCCAGAGAGGCATGGAAAATGTTCCATTCCAAGAAATTGGATACAACCCAAGAATGGCATTTAGTAGACCCAATTGGTATTGAAAAATGACAAAAATACTATGAAAATCTTTTGACAGAAAATAGACCTAAATGTTGGTGAATAAATTATGAACCACTGCATGTAAATTCGATCACACTAGATGCGACTTTGGAAGAGTAAAAAAAGTGTTACAAAACATGAAAAATAATGAAGCAACTGGGCCTGGAGGTATATCCATAGACCTGGTTAAAAATTATCCTATTGTAGGTTTGGAATTAATTACTGAAATATTCAATGGCATTTTAAAAGGAGGTAAAATACCTGAAATATGGAAATTATGGAAATATGGAAGCCTATATAAATTCGACTTACAAAAAAAATTTAAAAAAAAAATAATAATAAAAAAAAAATTGTAATAATTATAGAGGGATAAGTGTGATTTCATCTTTGGTTAGACTGTATGAACGTGTGCTAAAGAATTGAATTGAAATGCAAACATCAGACTCAGAAGAGCAAAGTGGTTTTAGACCAGGAATATCCTGTATTGGCAAAATTTTCTGTCTCAAACAACTGATGGAAAAAACAATTGAGCGAGGAAGAGAACTTCACCTAATTTTCATTGATCTCAAAAAGGCTTATGATAATGTACCAGTACAAGAAGTATGGGGGGCAATGGAAGAAAAAGGAAATATCAACAACGTACTAAATGCAGTCAAACAACTTTATAAAGATAAAAGGCAAGTAAAAGTGGGAAAATGTCTATCAGTCAACTTCCCAGTAAATAAAGGATTCCGACAAGGCTGCTGTATATCTCCAACCCTGTTTAAAATATACATTGATAAAGCCATAAAAGAATGGAAAAGAAAATGCAGAAGCAAGGGTGTGAAAATTGGTGATAAAACATTGTTTAGTCTACTATTTGCAGATGACCAAGTAATAATGGCTGAAGATGATGTAACTTGTATGTTCAAAAAATTAGTAGAAGAGTATGGAAAATGTGGAATGGAAATAAATGCACAAAAAACTGAATATATGGTGGTAGGAGGTATGCCCCATGATTTAGAGACTGGTATAGGAATACTTAAAGGTAAAACACAATATAAGTATTTGGGAGTCACACTAACAGCAGATGGTAGAGACGAACAGGATGTGAAAAATAAAAATATAAGAGGAAAAATAGCCACAAGATAGTTGAATCCAGTGCTATGGAACTCAATTATTTCAATGAAGACAAAGAAACGCATATATAGCTCGTTCATAGAGAGTACCTCATTCTATGGGGCAGAAGTCTGGACACAAACAAAAAATTTGAAAGACAAACTTCAATCAACAGAAATGATGTTCTGGCGAAGATGTTGTAAACTTTCTCAGTTAGATAAAATAAGAAATGACGAATAAGAAATAAAATGAAAGTGCAAACCACCTTGAATGAGACAACCAAAATGAAACAACTAAAATGGTATGGACATATGAGAAGGTTGAAATCAGATAGACTTCCACAAAATGTTTGGGAGTGGATACCAAATCGAAGAGAATACAGGGGAAGACCGACAAGAACATGGAACATGGCAATAACTGAAGCAATGGGGGAAAAGAGAAATAGATGAAAACAATCTATGGGATAAAGAGGCATGGACATTGGGATGCAAAAATCGGCCAAGGCTGTAAAAAAAATGCTAAATAGATAGAGACTAAAATTTCGACATCTATTTTCTATAATAAGATTTGTGTACTTTTGGAGGAGTTGCAGCCATATGTTTGACTGCTCTAAACGAGTTGATATGCAACAAGTGTTTTTTATGTAATTTCCATGTAATGTAGACTGTACGAGTTAATTTGCTCAGTCAGGTTGTCGCGAAGAGCCTCTGGACGAGATTGTACATGGAACTGCTATGTCCTAAAAACCTCTGGACATGTTCGCTTGTGCAGACCCACTTTTAGCTATCACTAGGACTGTTTGATAACTGAGATGTTTTGTGCGATATCTATATGTGAGTGAGCTCTGCTAACAAGGGGCCATAGCAAGAAGCATGATGCAAGATGCATGATTTACAGTCAGCCAGCCCGTAGCAGTTAAAGGGTTGATTGTAAGTGAGTGGAGTGGAGTGGAGTGGAGTGGAGTGGAGTGGAGTGGATTGGAGTGGAGTGGATTGGATTGGAGTGAGTGAGTATGTACGTTTCCAGACACCAAGCAACCCCATTGTTCATTAGTTCCATGAATGTGGTGCATGTTATAGCCAATTTCTCCCCTCCTGGTACATGAAATATGGTGCCAACCTACGTATTTGGCTTACTGGGTTCATTTCCAGTGGCGTTAGCATGCAGTGTAACTTTCATGGTTGCCATGGAGCATGTCAGCCTCCTGATTAAGCAAACACTGAAGTTCATATATTCTCACCTCTGCTGGAAGGGCACCAATAGGTTCACAAGCATGTAGAGCCAGGAACTCTTGTTCAGCATTGCGTTGGCCCAATACTGTTGTAATTGCATCCTCCTCTGCCTCACGGCTTAAGGGTGGTGGCGGAGGTGCAGGAATGTTGCGTGGTGTATCCAAAGATTCCAAACACTCAGGGGAAGTGTGTCCAATATACTGCAGCAACTAAATAACATACATTATAAAAAGAACTAGGGAGTATATTACAATCTGTATATGAAGGGCTCAATGAGAGATAACGCACGTCACCAAGGTCACTTATGTACCATGTCACAGTACACACAGTGTGAATCTACGACATGCGTTAGCTAAAAGCCCCACTTGTGCCATTTTGAGATACAGCTTCTTTAAGCAAACACTTGTAAATCAATAGATGCTAAGACTATTAAGCAAGTGTTATCCTGCTGTGTTACTGTTATAATACAGAACGGGAAGAAGATTGCTCAGTGAGAATTATGGTAAGGTTAAGGTGAAAATATTAACATTGGGGCTAATTACTATCTCTCACTGACCTATTCATATATAAAACCTTATTTATCAGAAAATATCTATGAGCTTTACTAAAATTACATATGATGTAGGGACATATGAGACTTGTTATACGATTTCCAACATTTTAATTTGCTTAAAGTCAGCAATATTTTGGAACAACATGTGATATTTGTTACTTAGTAATATATTTTTAAATATTAAATGTGATTAGAACCCAATAGAAGAATGTGATACATTAGTCACTACAAAGACAATATGGGAAGGGAGGGAAAAAAAAAGAAAAAAGAAAAATTCACGAGTAGGCAAAATCTAGGCTTTACAATGTTCTTAAATCAACAATAGTTTTCAGTGATATTAACTGTATATCACTTTCAAACAGTAAAATAATAAGTACTGTAAAGTTTTTGATGGCATCCCACACTAAACAAGGCTTTTCTGCTTCACACATCCATCCCTTCATCTATCATTTTGATTTTTTGACATTCCGTAAGCAGTAAGTAGAACAAGGAAGTTCAGGTATTTATTTTACCTAAAAAAGGCATTTATTTTTACGAATTTAGGCATGGAAAAAGTAATTATTCTAGCTAAAGTAGGGGTGAAACATGGCTTGTAAATTATGAAAAATCACATTTAAAAAGAATTTGTATAAAAAATTTATAATTAATCTTCACATTTTTATTCTACCTCTAAAATCTGCATTAGCACTTTATATGTAAGGAAATGATCTTTTCTTTGTCATCTTTATCCACTTGACCATCCTGAATGATGGTTAAGAATTTGTTTTACTTGCAATTCTGTCTCTTCGAAGTGCTGTTGTGTATTCCCTTTTGAATCCTGAAAAGACATCAGTGGGAAAAAAAAAAAAAAAAAAAAAAAAAAAATTTTGTTCTTTGTACTTGTGAAGGATCAGAGGCCACACTCAACAGAAGGATGAGATTCCCTATGAACGAGTCAAGCCAGTAGCAATGAATTAAAAAAAAAATTGACAGGTATCATCTTTCTTTTCCCATCTAGATATTTAATACAGCCTCTGCTTTGACAGAAAGACAAAACAAAATCGTTTCATTGTGTTGTGCAGGCTTGCAGTTATATAACCAGCTTGACCACGATTGATGCCCGGAGGAGAAAAAAAGAAAAAAAAAAGACAGAAAAAGAGAAAGAGGAAAAAGACAGAAAAAGCAACAATAAAACAAAATTGTAAAAATGGGCACATCAGAAGCTAAAATAGACAAAATGAAAATCTACTAAAAAAAACTCCAGAAGTACAATTAAGTGATTCCTATTGTTAAATGGCATTTTGCCAAACTATCAGGCTCTAGTAATAAATAATATAAATATGAGAATAACTAACATCATCCAAATTATCCATATCTTCTGCAGCGTTTTCCCATGTTGGTAACTGGTTTGGTGGCCTATGACGAAGAGTATGTTGAGGCGGGCAGTGCGCACTGCCATATAATAAACTGGAGGCCATAAGGGACACAGATGACTGCCTTTCACTTCCATCACGCTCTCTGTTATGTCGCACTGAAAATTGAGGCAGAAGAAAGGGAAATGAAACATTTAAGTTTTGTAGATCACCTTATTACAAAAAAATCAGTACCAAACATGTTACAAAAAATTGTTTCTGACAAAAACGCTTTGTAATGAAATAGTCTCAATATGAATATTTATTTACTTAAAAGATGTTAATCTTACCACCTCAAGATAAGGAATTAATTTAAGACACTCAAAAACAAAATTAATAAAAGTACGCACGCGCGCGCGCGCGCGTGTGTGTGTGTTTGTGTGTGAGCGTGTGAGTGTGTGTTTGTGTGTGAGCGTGTGAGTGAGTGTGTGTGTGTGTGCGCGCGCGTGCGTGAGTTTAACGGGGGCAGGGGAAAATCTTCTAAAGACACCGCAGTGTGTGGAATTCATAGCTAGCCTATGCCTACGCACTAAAAACCCCTCTCCTTTCCTCCTATTCCTTCCCGCGGAACCGCCGTCAGGCATTGCATCGCGAGAAGGAAGGATGGGCCTTTTTCGCCACATTCTCCATGTTCCTTTCGGATCCACGTCATGATGTCTCGGAATGACCCGAAATGTCCATCGCCCAGTTGATGATTGCTCCCATCGTCGTTTTCCTAATTGGTCCATTGTTCACCCCCTCTCTTCTTTCGTAATGGTATTCCAGTTTGAAGGCCCCCTCCCGCTTGCGCAAATAGAGTCTAAGCTCTCTTCTGACGCAATGAGGTCGATCGGAGGCATATCTGCTAACACACACACAGCATCATAAGATACGGTGCGAAAACGCTCGAGGCAACCCGCAAAGCGGACCTTCTATGCCCGACTTAAGCCCACGACGGCGTATGACTGAATGCCCCATGGAATCAGCCCAAATAGGGCTGCGTAGAGAAGAATGGAATTTACTACGCTAGTCAGCAGCCTCCGCGTATTTGCCCCAGGCCCCCATACAATTAGGGAAATGCGTGCCAATGCGGTGGCCATACGGAGACGCTTTCTTCGGAGACATTGCGCAGGTGCTCGTTCAAGGCAGCCTCCGTCAATATTGGACTCCCAAAATCCTACTGACCAGGGGACACGTTTATGGGCGGCCCATCTGTAGCCCTAACCGCGTAAGCCACCACCGGATCTCCGCCAACAGCCTCGGTTGGCAACCTGCGTGACTTGTTCGATGTATGTGCCGACAACGACAATTGCACATCGGTCAGCGGAATCCAATCGTTCTTGCGCCTTCCGGCAACTCGAGCTTTCAACACGGCGTCATACATAATGTTCCACAACATCGCGACCAACTACCGAGCATTGTGGGACACCGCCTGTGACCGTATTAGATTGACTCCAGCCCCAGTTTTATATAGGAAGGACTCTCTCCTTAAAGTAACTTTTTTACCAAGTTCTGAGAGTACCTTGGAACTCCGAGAGTTTGAAGGCGCAGAAAGAATGGAGCTCCACCTTGCAGTGTAAAGGCGTTTTTCAACGTCTAGGGTCACTATAGCACAATTACTTCATAGACAGCCTTTCCATTCGTTTGCCCTTCAATGGCCTTGCGTGCGATTCCGATGACTACCTTAATAGCATCTACGCGTGGATCTCGCTTTTTCTAAAGCCGTACTGATTATGCAGACCAATCGCTTGGAGGCCCCTCTGTAAATGAAACTCAAATACGATTGCAAGATAATCCGTCCAACACTTGCCTGCTGTGTCCAGTAAGCATATTGGGCCGATAGGCTGTCCGGATTCAGTAGGTGCCTTATCGCTCCCTTCGGAAGAATAGACTAACTGTTGGCTGCCTTTCCATCGACGGGGGAAATTCCCCTCTCGTATGCATGCATTATATGCCTGCAAGAATAGATCGGGCCGGTCTTAATAGCGGTCTTAATTGCTACATTGGGACCCCATCTAATCCGAGGGCTTTGCAATCTTGGACCTTGCCGCAAGCTCTGGAAAGTTCATCCACGTGACTGCCGGAACCTCGCTTAGATCTTCCCAGACGATTCTTTCCCGGTTGTACTATCTACCTGGCGAGGAAACAAGGTAGCTACAACTTTTTTCTCATGAAAACCGGCAAGTGGGTGGTCCGCCTGAACTACCCTGAGTCTGGGCCGTTACCAGCTTATACGGGGCATCCCCAGGGGTCAGCATATCCACCTCCTCCCCTAGCCGTCTCTCCAGCAACGACATTTACTTAATCTTAATGGCTTTATTTGTGGAAAGCTCTTCTGGGCCGTCCAGATGTTGCTTCTTGAGAGAAATTCATAGTTTTGGGCGGCTACTGGCCGCGCTTGCGCAATCTACGTGTTCGGTGGCAATTCCCTGCGAAGTTCCGGATCTCGTCAGCCCCCAGTACACTGAGGACGGCGTTCCTCTCCTTGGACCTTTTGTCATGACGCATTCACAGAGCGTCAAATACCCGCGTTCATTAACGGTTTCTACAATATATTCAGAGTCACGGGCCAACATATCTTCAGGGTTGCTCTCACCATTGGCAATGAAAAATCACGAATCGAACGTCCTGTGGTTCCAAACAGCTTTCCTTCTACCCTTGTGAGCTCAAAATGGCACTGCTCTTTTACTCATACACATAAGCTTGGTGTCACTATGTGTAATAATGTTGCACTAACCTCCCAAGATACAATACGTCTAGCAGGTTTTACTGACGAAGTTAGGATCAACGACCGAGCTGCGACCATTCATAGAAAGGTCGGACTGGCCCCCGTGTGCAGAGGCAGGACACCCAAACTGTTCAAGGCTGTCCAGGAGGAGCCACCGCGTCGGTTCGTTACTCTGCTGCCCCACTGCGTGGCCCATGCATTGAAGTCCCCAGCAATAATAAGAGGCCTTCGTTCTCTCGCGTCAATCTGATTAGCGATCGAGTAATTCCTCGAACTCCTCAAGCGATGCACTGGGTGCAGCATAAACACTATAGAAATATAACACCGAACGCTTTGAATCCAAGTGAATCCCATCCCTTGGGATTGCATAACATCCTGGACTGACTATTACCACATATCCATACTGCAGCTTCCGGTTAGTCGCATCCGAAACCAGACTTGGAAAGACCGACAATATTCTGTTACCTGCTCGCAGTAGTATTGGCAACATCTATATTCATCTCGCGCACCGTCTGGTGAGAAGGGTCCTGGGCGCCTCGCAATGATTTAAATTAGGATGGAGAAATCTTCATTTTCTCTTTCGTTGCCTTCATTGCTACTTGCGTACGCCGGACACGTAAAACTCCCTGTCGGGTGGTTCCTTCTATCTTTTCAGAGCACACACTCGCCTCACAGCGCTTTTGCCAAGCCTGACGTAAGTGGCCGTCTTCTCCGCATCGCGTGACAGGATTTTTGAACCTGCCGTCCCTTTGGCAGTCGCGTGCCAGATTTCAAGAACGCCCAACAACGATAACCACTCCGCACAATTACTTTACTCTCTAACAGCGGCAGGTTTACCCACCCAATTGCGAAACACGGCCTCTTTCCTCAATGCCCTCCTGGCTAGTTCCGTCAGGTAGACGGCACCACTGCAGTTTGTTGTGCCTCGTAAGCCCTCCGTACAGATATTGACACTTGCTAGCTCAACAGGTGATTTCAAGTTCCCTGCTTACAAGCTTTCACAGACTTCAGCGCCGTGTCAGCTCGTTCAAGGTCGCGAATCTCGAGAGTTTTTCGTTTGTCGTCTCTCCGCGTCCGTTACTCTTGCCTAACTCGCCCAAGGTTTTTGGATATAGCTTCAATATCTCGGAGGCTGCTGCCAGATTTTACGCAACTCCAGCAGCAGGTATCCTGCTTGCATTCTCCTCACCTTTGCGACGTTCTTCACCAGCATCTTTCAGGAGATGGGTCGCCCTTGATCTAGCCTTAGAATATCACATAGGAAGGGCCCCTCCTCATTTGCCTTAACAATAAACGAGTTCGGGGCCGATTAAGAGTGCGGCTTCGGCGCGCCTACGTCTCTTCGCTCCTACGACATGCCAATCCATCTCATGATTTATGGTCGTGGTGTCTTCATCAGACGGTTGTGCAGTGCCTGAGGAACTTCAGAGCATGTGAATTGTTCCTATTCCCTGCCCGAATCTGAAAGCTTCTTCTCTGCCACTTTTCGTAGATTAGCGGTCCTCTCCTTCCTCGACGAAGTTCGTCCACCGCCTACTGTGGACCGCAACCCCGCCGCCGCTGTCCAGGGTCCACCACAATGCATCAGCATTCGGGCCAATATCAGAAGTCCTGTGGTGAAAACCTTGCGTATCCGCCTCCACCGTCCTCAGGGCAAATCACACCATTAACTGCGCGTTCGCACCTCCGCCGCCGAGGAACTACCAACGATCATCAGAATTCCGGCTAACACCCGCCGTCAGCGGCAGAGTCCGTGTCCGTGCATCAACAGTCTTCGCGCCCAATTACATTGTTCCCCGTAGCTGCACCTCGGTCGAGGGCCCTTCATAACATCATATTCAGATCGACACCCCATGTCGAGGTGAAGTCTGCGTCTCCGCCTCAAACATGTCTTCAGCTAATTACAGATTAGTGACTTCCTCCAATGTTCCACACATCTCATCAAAGTCAGATCGGATGGAACTGACGCATACGCTTTTATCTCAACCGGGACATTATTCCTTGGCAGGACAAAAATGCAGGAGCATCCCGATCTTTTTCCCACTCCGTCAGAACTTCACTCTCCTATCTCTTCCCGAGAACACTTGTGGAGCTTGGCTCCCCCAAAATTCCAGAGCCGGCACCGACTTCGGGCTTTCACCCGATCAGAATCGGTGGCGAGATTCGGCCGTCAACGTCGATCGCTTGGCGGTAGTCAGTCCTACTGAGCGTGCGGGATACAACAATACATAGAATGTACTCTATTTTCGGGAGCGTGAACTCCTATATACTGATCTGCAACAGTTATATGCTAACCGCCAGCAGAGATGGAATTGGAAGGAAGAGTAGAAGCGGGATTTCGTAGGCGATAGGGAGCAAAGATCCCATAAGCTACTCAGTCACCTATTGGATCTTGCGGGACGGAGCGAAAAC